GGCTCTGCCATTGGCTGGAGCATACGGGCTGCGAGGAGCCGCCAGCCCTGCGGGGGGGCCCCCAATGGGCCGGCTGGGCCAGGGTCTGAGGTTAAGCCCTGCACCCCGGGGAGAAGGGATTTAAGGCCCTGAGCCAAGCTGCACAGCGTGGAGAAGGGGCTGTGGAAAGGGGCGGGGAGGAAGGGATCCGCTTCCTTCCAGAGTTGTGTAATGTCCCCAGCTAGAATTAAAGGCGGCTGCTGGGGTGAGGTGAAATTCTGCCAAAATCACCCAGTTTGGCCGTCAGGCGGCCCTCGTGGAGATAAACGGCCCAAAGCCAGCCCAACCAGGAACCTTCTCTCTCCAACACAAAGACTCCTAAACCTCCAACCCTTATACTCACTCGCTCACATATTCATAAAATATACACTTAGAGAAACACACACACCCAACTCACACACATGTCATAGGTCGAGCCATGTGAAAAAGCCGTTTTTGTAGGTCAAGCCCGGCCACGTGTCGGCAATTTCATATGGTTCAACCTAATACACTCACAAATACATTTACCCTCACGCTCTTTCACATGGACAGCATCTTGCACACACATTCTTCCACAACGTGACAAACGTACACACACGGTCTCAGGCTGCTCTCTCCCCTCACTATCACATCACCCAGTTTTATTTTCTTCCCAGCACTTATGACTGCTGACGTAATTTATTAGTTTACTTGTTTACTGGGTTGTCTGCTCCCCCCGACCCTCACATGCAAGCTTCCAGAAGGTGAGAACACTGCCAGTCCTGTTTGTGCTGCAGCCCCAGTGCCTAGAACAGAGCTCAGCAGACACTCGTGGGCTGGGTGTGCACACTCTGACACAGTCCCATCCACACGTGCACGGCCTCACAACTGCTCTCGGCTGCCACCTGTGCAGTTCCACACACGTGCATTTGACCTGCGTCCTCTGAGCTCTGCCCCCACTCTTCCTTTCACTTGCTTCTACCCCACCTGTCTCTCAGGTGTGCTGCTGCCAGGAGGTGCCTGTCATACTCACAGTGAGCGACGTGAACGTTAGGCAGATGCCACCAAAGCCATTCAAGGACAGCGCCAGGAATATCAACGGAGACAGAACTGGGAAGGGGAAGAGGGGCGGATGAGGGCATCTGGGGAGCTGTGGGAGGCCAAGGGCACTGGGTAAACATCCACCTTCATCCCATCCATTCTTTTCTTGTGAGAACACAAGAGGCCATTCAGCTCACCTTCAGTGTCCCAAGAGGCCAGGGCCATGAGGGTGCAGGATGCGGCAAAGCAGATGCTGGGGGGACACAGAAAGGGAAGGGGCTGATCTGTGATCACCCTATGCCTCCGGTCCCTGTCCCCCAGCTCCCCACAGTCCAGCCATCTCACCTGCCAACCAGCCGCAAAGGCCGGGGGCCAAAGCGGTCCATGAGGATCCCCAGTGGTAGGGTGGTGGCACTAAGCACAAAGGTTCCGATGGTGAAGCCCAGGTTGAGTATCTCATCCTGCAGGTCACAGGTCACCCACCGGTACTGCTTATCCTGGGTGGTGTTGGTGGTGTTCTTAGCTGAGGAGGTAGAAAGGAGACTCAGCTCATCACAGCAGCAGCAGCTGGGAATAGGAGAGAGTAGCCCAGGGACAGGGGTCCTGCGCTCAAGTCCCATGCCTCTGATTTATTGCCAACCAGGTGACTTGGGGGGTGGCCTAGAGTCATGTCTATTTGGGGGATGAGGGCTCCATAAATGACAGCAATTACTATCTCACCTTGGAAGAGTCACACACACACCCAGCCTGAGGTCGCAACTAGCTCAAATAAGATAATGGACATCAAAATATTCACCAAGTTGTAAGGTTCACTCAATGTCCAAGCTTAGAGGGGTTGTGGACCCCAATAGGAAGCACCCCTGAATCTAGGGCCAAAGTCAGTGAGCAGCTTTAACAGAAGTACCAAGAATTCACTTAAAACTTAGAGGAAGCTTTCCTGATAAATAACATTCTTTTTTTGTGTGTGTGTCTTTTTCGTGACCGATAAGGGGATAGCAACCCTTGGTGTGGTGTCGCCCACACCGTGCTCAGCCAGTGAGCGCACCGAGCGCACCGGCCATTCCTATATAGGATCCGAACCCGCGGCGGGAGCATCGCTGCGCTCCCAGCGCCACACTCTCCCGAGTGCACCACGGGCTCGGCCCCGATAAATAACATTCTGATAAAACATTACTAGTTACTATTTACTGAGTACTTAACTATGTTCCAGGCATTGTTCTGAACAGTCACTGTATTAACTCACCACAGCCCCATGAGTCAGTAAAGTATCCCCATTCTCCAGATAACAAAATCGAGGCACAGAATCAAAACCAAGGCACTGTGCTCCCCTACCCTTTAGACATTCACCTGGAGGACTCGTCCTTAAGGTAAACTGCTAACTTGGCGTTGTGGCAAGTTAATGAGAAAGGCTAGTGGTAGGGGACAGAGGGTAATTTCAATTTACTCTGTGCTCAGTGAGTCATGAGGCGGCAGGCCCCCTGCTTGTTGGTAGGCAGCACTGCCAAGGACAAATCCAGGGTGTGCCTGAGAGGCAGACAGACCAGGGTCTGAATTCCCACCACCAGCCTTACTAGCTGTGCAACCTCGGACAAGTAACTTCCTCTCTTTGAGCCTCAGGCTCCTTGTCCATAAACAGGAGCAGAGAATGCCTAACCCACAGGCTCCTTAGGGTTCAACTGAAGACAATGAACAAAGAGCTTTGCACAGTGCCTGGTGGAGGTGCTTCTGAAATAAGTGAGGCTGGGTAGATGAAGGCCCTCCTGCAGGGTCACGATGAGGTGGGCACATCCTCCAGGTGCTGGGATCCCACAGTGAATAAGACAGGAAGCTCTCACTCTCATGGGGCTTACATTTGATAACAAGGAAACAAATGGATGCTGATTTAAAGAGTGACAGGTGCTGTGAAGAGAACAAAAGAGGGAAATGTGATAGTGCCTGGGGATAGGGAGCATCTGACCTCCCTGGTGACAATGACCCCTGACCTCAGGTATCTGAAGGGCACGCAGGCAACAGAAGGGTAGAGGGTAAAGCGATCTGTGTGTTAACATATGGAAGAACATAAAGAATTGTCAGATCATGAGTGCTGGCCAACCAGGGAAGGAACCGCCTTGGGCAATGGGGAGTTCCCCATCATACCAGCTGCCAAGAAGACTGGGGAAAGTGCTCTGGCAGTTGGAAGAAGTGGCTGGGGGTTAGACCGCACAGCGTTTGGGGTTTGGGAGAGCCCTGTAGTTTAGTGATCTTTATGATCACTGTTCATTTTTCCACCAGGTTTGCCTGCACCAGTTTACTCATTCCACACCCACTTATCAGACACTTACTATACGCCAGCACTGTGTGGGGGCCGTGGGTAAAGCAAGAAGAAATGCCAAGATAATCTAGACCAGAGGCTCCAAACAGGTGACCAGCATTGGCCCCCACCCATGTTTTGCTTGGCTGACAGTGTTGACCCTTATAATGTTGTAAATTGTAATTGGGTGCCAGTTTAAAATCAGAAGTTATCACATAAAAATCTAGATGGCTTCTCTTTAAAAAGTCGGAAGATCCAGCTATTACTGGAGCTGAGTAGAGGCCACCTGTTTTCACCAGGGCTTGCCTCAAGGGCACATGGGTCCTGCCCTCTCCCCTTCAGCTCCCAGGTGCTATCACCTGCTTGGCCCCAATTGGCATTTGAATTTGCAGCCCCTGAATTACACTGTTCTTGCTCCTAAGTCTTTCACAATCAAATGACAATTTCCTTCACAAACAATCCCACTAGCTTGCAATTCATTAACACCTACTCTGTGCCAGCTTTTTCCATATAGACTCTCACTTAATCCTTACAACAACCCTAAAAAGTGAGGATAATGGTCCCCATTTTATAGGGGAAGAGGTTCTGAGAAGCAAAGCAACTCACAGCCCAGCTTCTTACAGGCACCCCCGTCTGTCATCTGAAATTTTGTCTGCTTGCTCTCATTTCATTTTCACAACTCCATGAGGTAGGGATTATTAGTCTCATTTTATATACAGCTAATTGAGCTACTCAGAAAGTTAAGTAACTGTTTCAAATCAGCCAACCAGCACATAGAAGAGCTGGAATCTATGCTGCCTTCTCTTTCCACACACTATAGGGACACAGATTCCTGGTCTGATTCTGTGTTCTTGGGACACTGTAGAGAAAGGGTGAGACTCACAATGAAATGAGGCCTCAAGAAGCAGAAAACAGGCACTTTTGATCAGGCAGCATGACTGAGACAGAACAGGGAATAGCATTCCCAATCAGCCTGACAGCCTCACAGATTTAGGCTGGAGTCCCTTGAATGGAAAGGGATGCAGGGAAGAGACATGTTCCAAGAGTGGACAAATCAATTCTGAGAAAAAGAGAAGGATTCACTTTGGTCACCTCTAGTGAGACCAAACAGTCCGACTTAGATGCACACCTACATCTAGACAACTCAAAATACCAGGTGGATATCTCAGTCCATATACAAAAATTAACTCAAAATGATCTTAGCTCTTAGGTTAAGTAATGGTTTCTTAAACATGATACCAAAACACAAGTGGCAAAAGAAAAAATAGATAAACTGGACTTCATCAATATTCAAAATTGTTATACACCAAAGGACACCATGAAAAAAAGTGAAAAGACAACCCACAGTGGAAGAGAAATTTTGCAAATCATATACCTGATAAGGGACTCGTATCAAGAATTTAAAGAACTCTCACAACTCATAACCCAATTTTTTTAAATGGGCAAAGGATCTGAAGAGACATTTCTTCAAAGATATACCAATGTCCAATAAGCACATGAAAAGATGCTCAACATCATTAGCCATTAGGGAAATGCAAATCAAAACCACAAAAAAATACCACTAGAATGCCTTTCATCAAAAAGATGGGAAATAACAAATGTGGTTGAGGATGTGGAGAAATTGGAACCCTCAGACACTGCTGGTGGGAATGTAAAATGGTGCAGCCACTTCAGAAAACAATCTGGCAGCTCCTCAAAATGCCAAATAGCTACACTCATGACCCAGCAATTCCATTCCTAGATCTATACCTAAGAAAAATGAAAACATATGTCCACACAAAAACTTGTACACAGATGTTCATAGGAGCATTATTAATAATAGTCAAAAAGTGGAAACAACCCAAATCTTCATCAACTGATGAGTGGATAAATAAAATGTGGTTGCCACATACCGTGGAGTATTACACAGCAATAAAAAGCAAAGATGTTCTGATATATGCTCCAAAAAAGATGAACAATTATGATAAGTGCAGGAAGCCAATCATGAAAGACCAAATATTATAAGACTCCATTTATATGAGATGTCAAGAATAGGTCAATCTAATTCTTGTCATAGGTCTTTCTGTGACAGAAAGTAGATGGGTTGTTGCCTAGTGCCTGGGGGTGGAGGGAGGGGAAGTGGGAGCAGTTATTGCTAATTGGGTACAAGAGTTACTTTCGGGGGAATAAATTTTCTAAAATTGATTGTGGTGATGGTTGCACAACTCTGAATATTCTAAAACTGATTAAATTGTATATTTTAAATGGGTGACTTGTAAGGTTTGTGAATTATATCTTAATAAAGGTGTTTTACATATTTTTTTAAAAGCACTGGTCGAGCCATGGGCCCTCAAAAGCAAATGGGAGTTTTGGGGGTGACGGAAATGTTCTAAATATTGATTGTGGTGATGGTTACTGAGGTGTCTAAATTTGTCAAACCTCATCAAAATGTATCATGTAAATTAATCTTTACTAAAGTTAATTTAAAAAAACACCAGGTCGAGAAGGCAGGAAGAGGCTATAGGATGGCCAGTGGCAGGCATCAAGTCCACCAGGCAGGAAAGGTCAGGTCCTCTCCAGTCTCCAGGGTAAACTCAGAGGAGACTTGGACGTCATGTGGGTCCCCTAGTAGCCCTCTTCTTGATTCTCTCGCCCACCCTGGGCTGCCTATCACTTCTCTCAGGCCTCCTCCTCCTGACCCACCCTGCCTTTCTAGGCCAACTGCCAACTCCACCTCCTCTGGCCCCCATCACCCTGTAATTGGGGCCAGGAGGCATTGGCAAGTCACCAACCCTGGGTGTCACCTGCTGCTTCCTTACAGATAACTCTGGCAGGGGTGGGGCAGTCCCCAGGGTGGAGAGCAGCAGAGATCAAGACCTCCCCACGTCCACCCTGATGGATTTTGGACATGGCCGGCGCCATTGTGCACACAATAAGCACCAGCAGGAAATAGCTGCCAGCCTCGTCTTCCACTCCAGCACCAAGCCCTTCCCCTCCTCCCTTTACAAGAAGCCTCCTGACTTAGAAACAACTTACCGGCTTCTGCATCGGCGCCGTTCTCAACCCAGTTACATCAACCTAATGGTCCCTCCCCCGTACATTTTGCGCCCAAAAGCTAATATAAACTCTTGCAAACCCATTGTTGGGGCTGTCAACCATTTTCAGGGCAGCCCCGGGCTGTCCTTCATTTTGAGTAGAGCCTGGCAGATTTCTTTCTTTAATAAAGCTTGAATGGTACCCAGCATCTCAGCTCACTTTCTTTCACTCCCCAAGGAATCGGTTTTCTCCCACTGCCACAGCAGGTGCTGTGAGGCAGGGAACTGAACTGAGGAGCCAGGAGAAGCCAGAAGGACACTAACATTTATCAAGCACTGTGCACTCCCATGGGATAGATATTATTATTATTCCCACTTGGCAGACCAGGCAACTGAAGCTCCATGTTTAAGGAACTCACCAATGTCATGCCAGTGGTAATGTTAGTGGAAGCTAGGTTTCAAATCCAAGCTGGACTTCCTTCCAAGCCTGCTCCACAACTTGGGGGTTGGAGAAAGGGGATAGGAGGGAGGTAGACAGCCAAACTCTACATCCACCCAGCTCTTCAGGCTGAGCTTGTCGGCACAGCACCCTCCTTCGCAGAAAAGGAAGATACCCATCAGATACAATCCCCAGACACCTGGAGGGGTGACTCCCTGCCCCGAGGCAGCTGCAGACAGCCCTTGGTTACCACTCCCAAGGAGAGTTAGAATTCCCACTCCCTCATTCTGGGCCACTCACATAGGCAGAGGTGATTGAAATGGAAAAGAGACCCTCCACAATGCCTGTCCTAGAGGAAATAGTCTATTAACTTTATGCAAACAGGTGATTTGGAAATCTGGGGGCTCCAGGGTCCTGAAAAGAGAACAGCGCAGGCCGCCCTTTGCATTCAAACTACACTTTGTATGTCTCTCCTTTGTCTAATTTAGCCTTACAATAGCCCTATTAAGAAATTCCTCACCCAGCTAGGTGCACACTTCTTCAAAGAGCTCTAGACCTGAGGCTGTCAGAGGCTTAGGACTCTGCCAATTAGTCCCAGGATCTGGATGCCCAGCAGGATGACTGGCATTCGGTGACCACTGGATTAGATAAACGAGGTAGAGTGGGCAGAATGCCACTCATTCTCCAGATGAAGTTTGAAGAGATCCAAAAGTAAGGCTGTCCAATTCCCAGCCCAATGCTCCGTCTTGAGAAGCCCCGATTTCTGTCCACCCGAGCTCCTGTCCCTTTGAGGCTTCCACCTCTCCCTTCAGCCGTGCCTCCCCCAGCCAACCCAGCCCCTTCTCAGGCATACCTGGGCATTTGTTGGAATAAAAGCCCTCGTTCTTGAGCATGATCAGCAGGGAGCCCCAGCCCAAGAGGACGGCGGAGAAGAAGAGGTTCTCCAGCACGGCCGTGCAGGCCATCCACCAGCGCCTCCGGTACGCCTGCTGCAGCGTGGGAGCCATGCCGTCTGCGAGCCTGCATAGAAAAAGTGCGCTGAGGGAAGGGCCCCCCAGTGGCCCCTGGGAAGGGTCCTGCATCATGGTGACTCCTGAGACCCCTTGAGCCAATCAGAGAGGAGGCCTTCATGGAGCCCTGGGCTTCTCAGCTGTGCGGCCGAGCTGGCTCCGCGCGCACTGCCAGTGCCAGGGGCGCACGCGGAGCTGGGCTCCCGCCGGGCCACGATCGGAAACAAGGAAGGTCCTGTCTGCGCGCTACAGCTTCCTGGCGCGCTGCTGGGCTCTCCCACCCAGGCCAGGGAGCGCAGATCCCGGCTCCTACGGGTCAAATCCCCTAAGTCTCCAAGTCTCCAAAGGTCAGCAAGGGGCAGAGCGCACTCTGAAGCACCGCTGGTTCATGTCTCGCCTCTCGCGCCAGGAAGGACCCCAGAAGCTGGCCGGAGGAGGAAGGGGAAGTCTGAGGCTAGCCTAAGACCCCCGCTCTTCCCGTTGCCCCTCCAAGACCACTCCTCTTCTCTGGGGCCGGGCGAGAACAAGCCCTTCCCCTTTCCACACCAGGCGACCCATGTCCCTACAGTCTCCTGGGCCAAACCGACAGCTGCCACGTGGAGGGAGATCCAGGGCGGGGCCTCCAGCGCCCCGCCACCCCCGCGCGCCCCTCACTTACTCCGCAGGGCGCGGGGCACCACGCGGCGCGCCTTGGAGCCCACCCGCCCCCTCCCGCCCGAGGAGGGGGCTCGGACTTGGGCAGGAAGTCCGGTGGCTGCAGGTTTTTTAAGGACAGCGGCGGCGGATGGGCTGGCTGGCGGGCGGGTGTGTTTACCAGACGGAGGGAAGGAGCCCGGGCCTCCGCTCTGCCGTGGCCGCTACAGCCACCGCGGGAGGAGCCGGGACGCGGGCGGTGCGGGGGCGGGGAGCGACTGGGGGGGTGAGACCGAGGAAAGCGGAAAGGAGACGGGCAGGGACGGACAAGACAGAATGACCGGGAGCGAGGGGAGGACAGTACGAGCAACTTCTCCTGAGGGGCCTCAGTACCCTCATCTGTGACACGGGACTTTGGCGCTTTCGGAGGTCGGTTCGAACTCCGCCAGATGCTGCTCTAAACAGAGGAAGTGCAGCAAGAGGGGGGCTGGGAGGAAGAGAAGAGTCGGAGGGGCCAGAGAAAAAAGGACGGAGGGACGCGCTTGGAGAGACGGGACAACGTGCCAGGGGACTCACGGGCGCAGGTAATTTGGGGGTGTCGGGGGGAGCCGGCCAGGGTGGCTCTCAGCGGACGCGCAGCCGGGAGCTCCTAGCCCCCCCGCTGCTCACCTCCGGTTCGGGGCAAACGCGCCTCCTGCAGCCGCGGACGCCTCGGGGAGCGCAGCGCGTCCACACTCTCGGCGTCCCGGGTCCGGCTGGCCGAGCCTTGAGCCGCAGCCGCGCTGGGGTCTTCTCTGCGTGCGGGGTCCCGGCGGCCACGGAGCTTCAGTCCGACAGCCCAGGGGTCTCGCCCCTTTTGCCCCCTCGGCAGAAATCGGCAGAACCCGCCGGGCGCCACGGACCTCCGATGCACAGCATGGGCGCAGTGGAGCTACAGAGTTGATAGTTGTATTTACACGCGTCCAGAGCTGCGCCCCGAGGTGGGGGCGGGGGCTCCCTCCCCTCCACTCCCCTCCCCCTAGGTCGAGTTTCAGGCGCACGTGACTCGCCCGCTGGTCCCCAGGCGCTCACCCCCGGCACACGCCCCAGCACCTAAATTTCTGCCCCCCAACCCTTTTCTCCCTGGGGCCCCCAGACTAACGCCAAGCAGCGCCCTCTGTATCCTTGGTCGAGACAAAGAAAGACTCAGCCGGAGCAGACCCACAGCGATGCACAGGGCAGGCTTGGGTGGGGTTTTGAACTGTGCAGCTGAGAGTAGTGTTTTCCGAGAGGCAGAAAGACCCGGTTTCCTTGGAAGTTGGATCCAGGTCTTGAGTCTCGACTTTAAAACTGACTAGCCTGGGTTCCCTTGGGCAAGTTTCTTAACCTCTCTGAGCCTCGGTTTTCTCCTCTGTAAATTCGGACAGCAATAGAACATACCTACCTGCCCAAAGTAATTTGGGATTATGATGCAGGTAAAATGCCAACCACAGCACAGCACTTGGCATAGTGAACATAATAAATGTTCGATGTTGCTACTATCGTTATTATTGTTTCAGTAGACCTGGTGATTGGATGCTTCCAGACACTTACTGATTGATTCCAGGTAAATCTCTCAGCCTCCCTGAGCCTCAGTTTCCTCATCTGTAAAATAGAGGAAAGATGTCACTACTTGGACTGTGGGGTGGATTAATGAGATGACCATGGTAAAGACATATACAGACGTGAGTTTAATTCAGTGTGTTGAGCATAATAGTGGTGATACCTACAAAGCTCTTTGGAAACATGAGCAACGCACAGAAAGCTCCAAGAAGGCCTCAGACAAGAGGGGACTGCTGAACAGCTGAACCAACAAGCCAACAGAAGAACTAACATTTGCTAAGTGGCTACTATATGCTGGGCCCTTTCATATATATATATATATATATTATATACATATATAATTTTATTAAGTCATCAAAACATCATGGTCTCATTTAAACCTCACAACTTTTCAGAGGGAGAAAACTGCAGGCTTGCAATTGGAACATGGCATCCTGAGGCAGGATGCAAAATCAGGTCCGTCTGGCTTTTAAGTTCTGCTCTTTCCATTCCTCCAGGCTGGGGCAAACAGCAAGAGCAAAGGCTTAGCAGTGGAGAGGTCACAAGGAGATCTCATGGTAAAAGTACATGTCGTCAGCCTCTGATGGTTTCACTTCTTAAAATGCAATACTGGCTCCTAGATCTTCCAGATCAAGGTCGAACCCCTTAGCTCAGCACAAGAAGCCCTAGAGTAAAGGTTCTAAGCCAGAGGGGTCATGGATCCCTTTGAGAATACAATAAAATGTTATTAATCTGCTCTCTATGAAAATGCATCTATAAACAACAGCACACACACATTTACATTCAAATTTCGGGGGTTTGGTTCACCTCCCTTCACAAGGCTCCATAAACCCCCATGGCTGGAACAACCTGCCCTTCCTCATCCCAATCCACATATCCGTGTTTGCCCCTCATGAACTGTCAGCTCTGTGAAGGCAAGAACTTGGTCAGTTGTGTTCGCTGCTATATGCCCAGCACCTAGAACAGCACCTGGTGCCTAAGAGGCTCTCAGTAAACACATGTGCAATGAAGAGTCAAGCCAGCTGGTTTCATACTTCCCTGCCTTTGCACCTGCTGTTTCTTCTTGTGGGAATGACAGATTCTCTTCATTTCTAATGTACTCACCCTTCGCAACTCAGCTCGAGTTTCACTTCTTTCTAGAAGCTCTCTTTGATCTCCTAGGCTGGATTAGGGGCCTTGCCCAGATACCTCCCCCACACACTGTGATAACCTCTATTGAAGTTCCTACACTTCTAGAATTATCAGCTTAGTTCCCTGACCACCCCCTATCCCCATGTGATATAAATCTCTTAGGGGCAGGAACCACCGGTTTGTAATTTGTATGCCTGCTGTGTATCGCAGGACCTGGATGTAACAAGCCCTTGGTGGACATTTGTTGAGGCTGGTCTGAAGGTAGTGAGTTATCATTGATTATTTACAGTCAGTTACAGATTGAACTGCTCGTTTAATCTCTACTCACCCCCACCCCCATCCCTCACTTGACTAGTCTTTTTTTTTTGCTGGCCGGTACAGGGATCGAACCCAGAAACTTGCTGTTATCAGCAGCATGCTCTAACCAACTGAGCTAACTGGCCAACCCTGTACTTGACCAGTTGTAAACTATTTATTGTTGAATAAATTAAAAGGGAGTGGTGGGAAATGAAGCAGAAAAGGTAGGCTAGGGTCAGTTTGGAATGACCTCTGCAAGGCCAAGGACTTGTGAGGTAGGTGACAAGAAACACCTGGATTTTGTTTTCTTTTTCTCTTTTGGCTTTGTTTGCTTGTTTTTAATGAAGGCGAAAGATATGGTCAGGTTTGTGTGTTTAATGAATGGAGGATATATTGAAAAGGAGAGTAGTTAAAGCACTTAGGGGACCATTGTAACAGTTCAGATTTTAAAAAATAGAGGAGTCAAAGAGAGAGACCTAAGATACATTTCCTTATCAGAATCAATAGGATTTATCAACCTTTTCCACTTCCTCCAAAACTAATCCCTTTCTAGGCTCTGTTCTCCTGAACCTCCCCGTAGCTTAAGTATAACAGCATTATCACAGTGGATCTCATGTGGACTCCGGCTAGAGTCTACTACGCAGCTTGGTGAGCACAAGCGCTGGCTCTGGAGTCAGACAGGCTGGATCCACATCCTGGCTCTGCAGCTGATCAGTTGTGCAATTTTGCCCAAGTTACTTAATCCCCTGAGTCTAAGTGTTGAAAATAATAGTATCTGATTAAATTCATTGTGTAAGAAATTATTTATTCAGCCTAACAAATAGTTATTATAAATCTGTGCATGAAGAATGTAAATAAAATGGTGCAGCCACTTTGGAAAACAGTTTGGCAGTTCCTCAAAGAGTTAAACATGGCACTTTTTTTCCCATCTGGTGGCAGCCATCAGGTAAGCCAAGATGGGTGCATACAAATATATCCAGGAGCTATGAAGTAAGAAGCAGTCCAACATAATATGCCTTCTTCTGAGGGTCCATTGCTGTCAGTACCACCATCTTTCTGAGCTCCACAAGGTTGCCTGCCCCACCTGGCTGGATAAAGAGCACAGACTTGGATACAAGGCCAAGCAAGGTCATGCCATATGCAAAATTCGGATTCATGTGTGCCATGGTGGCCATAAACACCCAGTTCCTAAGGGTGCAACCTAGGCAAGCCTGTCCGCCATGGTGTTAACTTGCCAAAGTTTCTTCAAAGCCTTTGATCTGTTGCTGAGGAGTGAACTGGATGCCACTGGGGCTCTGAAAGTCCTGAATTCTTACTGGGTTGATGAAGATTCCACGTACAAATTCTTTGAGGTCATCCTCATTGATCTATTCCATAAAGCTATCAGAAGAAATCCTGACACCCAATGGGTCACCAAACCAGTCCACAAGCAAAGAGAGACACATGAGCTGACCTCCGCAGGCCTTAGAAAGGGCCACGAGTCCCACCAGACTACTGGTGGTTCTCACTCTCCAGCTCCACCATTACTGCTAACATAAGTAATGTTTGTAAAATTCACAAGTAATAAACAACGTAGGACAGTCATGTCTGCTTAAGGGTGTTGTTCATCGGTTAAAACTAGTCTGTCGATTGTTTCATGAATGCCTTGTCCAATTATGAAAGTTAAAGTACAATAATGTTTGAAGACTGTAAGTGGTGGTGTATCTTGTTTCCCCTTCATGGGGAATTGAACCCTTGACCTTGGTTTTACAAGGGTGCACTCTAACCATCTCAGCTAACCAGCCAGTCCTATATCTTGTTTCTAATAAAATAAACTTTTGTCTTTGCTTTATCACATTGGGGAGTTATATGTTAGTGTTTAGAACATACTATGTGATAATAGGTGTAAAATAAATTCTTTAAAAGAGGGGGAAAAAAAAGAGTGAAACATGGAATCACCATTAAAACCCAGCAATTCTGCTCCTAGATCTATACCCAAGAGAACTAAGAACATACATCAACACAAAAACTTGTACATGAGTGTTCTGAATGTTCATAGCCATATATGATTCATGATAGCTAAAAAGTGCAAACAACACAATTGTTCATCGACTGATGAAAGGGGAAACACAATCTGGTATATCCATACAATGTAGTATTATCTGGCCATAGAAAGAATAAAGTTCTGATACGTGCTACAACATGGGTGAACCTTGAAAACATTATGCTAAGTGAAGGAAGCCAGACACACAAAAAAACACATATCATATGATTGCATTTGAATGAAATGCCCAGAATAGACAAATCCATAGAGAGAGAGAGTAAATTAGCAGTTGCCAGAGATTAGGGGGGTCATGAGGAGGGACATGGGGAACAAGTGATAATGGGTGTGGGATTTCTTGGGGGGACGAAAATGTTATGCAAGTAGATAGCAGTGATGGTTGAATAACTTTGTTAATATACTAAAATACACTGAATTATACACTTTAAAAGAGTAAATTTTATGCAATGTGAATTGTCTTAATCCATTTTTTGTCTTGCTCTAACAGAATACCTGAGACTGGGTGATTTATAAAGAAAAACGACATTTATTGCTTACAGTTTCCGAGGCTGGGAAGGCCAAAGTCCATCTGGTGGTGGCGACAGTGACTCAGGGGTCTCACATTGCAAGATGGTCGAAGCAGAGAGCAGAGAGACAGACAGACAGACAGACTCTCTTCTTTTAAAGCCCTCAGAACTACACCAGGACCACCATTTTTAACCCATTCACTACTGCACAGTCCTACAATCCAATCACCTCTTCAAGGCTCCACCTTTCAATTACTATAATAGGATTTCCCACCCTCTTAACAG